CCCCCATTCTTTATAAATTCCCGCTTATCTCATTTTGTCACGTCTCATACTTCCCCTTCTCTCTCCACTTCTCCTCCAGCACTTTCAGAACACAGAGATGAAGAAGAAGACGACGACGACGACCGAAGAAAGAAAATTGAATCATGGAGAATCGCCCCAAGCTCACTCGCGCCGTATGCCTCAGGGAGCGCGTCGAGGACACTCTCTCCGACCACCGCAACTAACTCGTTGCTCTCCTCTCCAGGTTCCCCCTCAGCTTGGAATTATTTTGTCTTCTGATGCTGCTAAACCCTGTTTGTTTCCGGGGGAAGTTTTGAAATTTTAGTGCGGTGTAGATTTTTGCTGAGTTTTGTTTTTCTGTTTGGTTCGGCTGAAGGTACGTGGATCAGGGGAAAGGAATACTGCAGCCGCATGACCTGATCGATCAGCTCGCAAATGTCATCGGCGACGATGAAGCCAAACAGCATCTCAAAACCGGAGCTTTTAGCAAAGTCCTCAAAGCCGCACAGGTCTTTTATTTTTTTCCATGTTTCATTTTCCAGACCTGGTTTTTATAGTTGATTTTACCTTCTCACTGAAAGCTGATATAGTTTCCAATTATTTTGCTCGTTGTTCTATTTTTGCACTGTATTCATTAGTTGATACATGGTGTGTTCGTTTGTTTGAAATATTTCCATGTGATCTTGCTGTAATTGAACCACTAAGCACTAGTCGGCGGCGGGCTAAGATTTAGAGCCTAGCGGCTAGACAAAATTAAAAACAATATAAATAAGTGTTTACTTAAGCCAATATGGCATTGCCATTATTACATACTAATGCATAAAAAATAAGAACACTTAAAACCAAAAACTAAATTTGAAAATTCAATAATTCATACTTTGCGTTCTTTTTGGGTAGGCTACCCAGAAAACCCTTTAACTTAATTAAACAAAATTAAAAACAATAAAACCACCTAACCGCCTCGCCACCACCTAGCTCCTACCCGATTTTTTTTTTTCACATTTTGGCCTAAATCGTGTCAGTCCTCTACCGCTTAGGCCCATTTTTAGAACAGTAAATTAAAAATGGGAAGAACATGATTTCTTGATGACTTTTCGCAAATTTAAGTTCCGGAAATTCAAGTCGTTATACAATAAATTATTGAATGTATGTGGAAAGGGGTTCCTAAAGAAAGGAGGGAACATTCACATAAGTAAAGGGAAAAAGTGTAATATTGCATTGGAGAAGCAGATAGATTTAGTCAAGTTTCCAGCTTTCGCTATTTTTGCACACTCTAGAAAGAAACAGAATGGATTATTAAGAATTTGTGGAAAATATGGAAGATAATGTTTTTTCTCATTATATTTCTCTACAAGATTACAAGGATATATATACATGAAACACTTAAGGGATACAAGTGTGTAGCTTGGACAAGGTAGGACGGCTTGGACAAGGTAGGAGACAAGGTAGGACGGCTTGTGACAAGCTAGGACGGCTTGGACAAGGTAGGACGGCTTGGACAAGGTAGGAGACAAGGTAGGACGGCTAGGAGACAAGGTAGGACGGCTTGTTCTTCCAATACTCCTCCTCAAGCTGGATCAAGGAGGTTAATTGATCCAAGCTTGGAGAGCAGACTTTGAAACTGAGGAGAAGCAAGAGACTTCGTGAAAATATCAGCAAGTTGATCTTGGCTTCGAGTGAATGTGGTTTGAATTACCTTGGACTGAACTTGTTCCCGAACGTAGTGACAGTCAACTTCAATGTGTTTGGTGCGTTCATGGAACACCGGATTGGAGGCAATATGCATAGCTACTTGATTGTCACAGAAAAGAGACATAGGTGTGTTGATTGAGAACCCCAAGTCCGAGAGAAGGCCCTTGAGCCAAATGAGTTCACATGCAGTGGAAGCCATGGCTCTATACTCAGCTTCGGCACTTGAGCGAGCAATTACATTTTGTTTTTTGCTCTTCCATGTCACGAGGTTTCCTCCAACATTATTACAATGTAGACACTTCAGATCTGGCCTTTTTCCCTTGTATACTTTATCTCCAAATGACTTGTGATTTGTCACAAAAGCTCTAGCCTCAGACACACTAGGTTTTACGTCAACATTCATGACTTTTCTGCGTACTTCTTCCCGCTGGATAGTAGTGCAAACACTTGCAAATGATGGAAGTTCGGGATTCATTAGAATATGCCTTCTAAGATCTTCATATTCAGAACCCAAACTTGCAAGCAAATGAAAGATTTTGTCTTCCTCGGACCTTTTTAACAGTACGGCAGCATCGATAGTGTGTGGTCGATACATATCCAGTTCGTTCCACATGTTTTTCATGCAACCGAGATGATGAACAAAGGATTTATCACCTTGTTGAAGACTTGCGAGATTCCTCTTAAGCTGGAACACTCGAGCAGCATTGTTTTGATTTCCATACATGTCCTTGACTGCCTTCCAAAGAGCACTAGAGGATTCTGAAAAACTAAAAATTTCAGACAGCTTAGGATCCATAGAGTTGAGGAGCCACGACATGACCAGCTGGTCTTTGCACAGCCATGCTTCATACTTCGGCGATGCGACGTCAGGTGCTTCAATACTTCCATTGACGAATCCAAGTTTGGATCTTCCTCCAAGGGCAAGAGATATTGATCTGGACCATGGAAGATAGTTAAACTCATTTAACAACACAGAACACAAACGTTGGTTTGGGTTGACTTCAGCTTCTGGAAAACTAGGGCGAGGAGCTGTGAAGCTTTCAGCTTCTAAGCCAAAAAGATTATCTTCTGCCATTATCGAAACGAATGTGCAGAAGAAGAGAAGGGACAACAATGGAGTCAGGCCGGTTAAGGTTCCGGCTCTGATACCATGTGGAAAATATGGAAGAGAATGTTTTTTCTCATTATATTTCTCTACAAGATTACAAGGATATATATACATGAAACACTTAAGGGATACAAGTGTGTAGCTTGGACAAGGTAGGACGACTTGGACAAGGTAGGAGACAAGGTAGGATGGCTAGGAAACAAGGTAGGACGGCTTGTGACAAGCTAGGACGGCTTGGACAAGGTAGGACGGCTTGAACAAGGTAGGAGACAAGGTAGGACGGCTAGGAGACAAGGTAGGACGGCTTGTTCTTCCAATAGAATTGAATGAAACTGGTTCCAGATACTATTAGTTCTACGCCTTTTGAAATTTTAGAATTCGGGTGGAGGCTTTCCATGAATAAATAGGTGTATTTGCTGGTGTCAGGAAGCCATTATTCTGCCGCCATTTGTGTCCTTAGTAGTTCGTCCAAGACCTGGGGTTTGGGAATACGTTCGTGTTAATGTGTATGAGCTCAGTGTGGAGGAACTTGTAGATGGGGAGTAAGCAAACTGCCTTCATTGAGCAAAATTTTCTTTTTCTTTTGACAATTAACGTTAACATGAACTTATAAACGTATGAGCTTTACCGATAACATTAATTTTGTTGCCTACATGTATCAGGTCCAGTGACAAATATGTACTTGAGCTCGACTTTAGGCCATTTAATGCTACTTTTCCTCGTCCCACCCGGTCTTCACCATTGGAAATGGCGTTCAATTTCTCAACCGCCACATTTCTTCAATTATGTTTCGTAACAAATAATCGTTGAAGCCATTACTTGATTTCCTTAGAGCACACAAATATAAAGAGCAAGTAAGTTTGCTGAGCCAGTTTTACCTAAAAGAGGGTCTTTCTTTTGCAATTATCTATTTGTATACGTTGGAACACCCATTGTCCCACATCGGCCAAGAGGGAAGAAAGAAAGCACCTTAAATAGAATTACTCAACTTTAACTAATACCGAGGTTTTTTGTGATAAAACCCCATACTTGAGGATTGTGCAAGTGGTTAAGCGGGGACAATAACGGTGTTGTTGGAGTGGGACCTCGGCCCATCAACCTGAAAAATTCTACTACATGGTATCAGAGCCAGGGGACGGGCCCGTATTACCACGTCATTAGGTGGGTCCCCATTTGGCCCCGCATGATGAGTGAGCCCCGACTTGGCTACATGGTATTAGAGTCAGGGGACGGGCCCGTACTGCCACGTGATTGGGTGGGTTCCATTTGGCCCCGCGTGATAGGTGAGTCCCGACATGCCTCCACATGATTGGGTGGGACCTCGGCCTATCAACCTAAAAAATTCTACTAAATGGTATCAGAGCCAAGGGACGGGCCCGTACTGTCACTTGATTGGGTGGGTTCCATTTGGCCCCGCGTGATAGGTGAGTCCCGACATGCCTCCACATGATTGGGTGGGACCTCGGCCCATCAACCTAAAAAATTCTACTAAATGGTATTAGAGCCAAGGGATGGGCTCGTACTGCCACGTGATTGGGTGGGTTCCCGTTTGGCCATCAACCTGAAAAATTCTACTACATGGTATCAGAGCCAGGAGACAGGCCCGTACTGCCACGTGATTGGGTGGGATCCCGTTTGGCCCCGCGTGATAGGTGAGTCCCAACATGCCTCCACGTAGGCCAAAGGTACCACGTGATTGGGTGGATCCCCATTTGACCCCGCATGATGGGTGAGCCCCGACTTGGCTACACATGATTGCCAATGTGTGGATCTCCACGTGTGACCTATAAAATGACGTCCCACGCGCGCTTGTTTTGCTAAAGTATCGATTTTTATTGTGACCCCTAGAAATTGCAATTCACCATCAGTCTATTTAACATAATTGGGATTTCTTGAGATATTTAATTTTTTTTTTCTTTTCTTTTTGTAGCCACTGATGTTGAATGAACTGATACAAAGCGAATCCAAGCTTCAGTCAGCTTTAGCTAAGGCTGAGGATCATCTTTCTAAGCTTCAACCTGAGACACCCTATTCTGAGTTTGAATATATGTAGGCTTATATATATACCAGACGCACGCACGCAAATATCAATACCCATCTTCTCTCTGTAAGACTGCAACTGCCTCATGGATTCAATATCTGAAATGGAAATCTACTTTAGAAGCTGCAGTTGCAATTCCTGATATCTTATGTTGGTTTTCTTTCCTGCGACTTGCGTACAGATTTCATGGAATGGGTTTCGCGCAAGCTTATTTCACGTATTGGAGATGATAAATCTTCTCTTAGATATCCTTCAGGCTCCTGATCCTTCTATATTGGAGACATTCCTTGGGAGAATACCGATGGTGTTTAATGTTATCATTTTGTCTCCACATGGATACTTTGGACAAGCAAATGTTTTAGGCTTACCCGACACTGGCGGCCAGGCATTCCTTGTCAACTTTTTTTCTTTTTAAATGACTAGCAAACTTTACGATACTCATCAGTTAACCTTGTCTTGTTCCACTACCAATTTTTACCTATACTTTGGGTACATTGTAAACTTCTATAGTGAGCTTTCATATGTTTAGCCGTGATTGTAACATAACAAACGAGAAGTTTGCATAACTTATATGCAGATTGTCTATATACTGGACCAAGTGCATGCCCTCGAAAATGAAATGCTCGAAAGAATTCGCAGGCAAGGATTAGATTTCACTCCAAGAATCCTTATTGTAAGTGTTTTTATCCTTATAGTGAGAATCCTTACGGTAGCTTTTTGGTATGTAAAAGTTCATGGATTTTTTCACTGGTGGGTTCAAGGTGACCAGGCTAATACCTGATGCGAAAGGAACTACATGCAACCAGAGGCTGGAAAAAATAACTGGAACTGAGTACACGCATATTTTAAGAGTTCCTTTTAGATCAGAAAAAGGGATTCTTCGTAAGTGGATATCAAGGTTTGACGTATTGGCCTTATTTGGAGACCTTTGTTCAGGTAAATTTTGATAGCATGTAAACTCTATTTATCTACAGCTACTAAATCTGCAAATTTGTGCCTCTTTCACCGTCTTAAGTGGATGATTTTGTCTGTCCATGTGCATTCCCATCATAGCTTGCTACCCATCTGATGTCACTGCTGCCATGACCACAACTGCCTCCCTTTACTTTGAAAGTAGCACATGACTTTGTTCACTAATTGCATATTCAGAATACTACAGAATTCTATTCTCTTCCGATTAACTAATCCTTACATGCCTTTCAGCCTTTGCCATCTGATATAGTCATTGTTTCTCATGTGATCAGGATGTTGCAGGTGAAATTACAGCTGAGTTACAGGGATATCCAGACTTTATTATTGGGAATTACAGTGATGGGAATCTTGTTGCATCTATGTTGGCTTATAAAATGGGAGTTACACAGGTTCGATATTTTTGCAGCTGTAAATTTCATCATATTATCTAACGAGAATGTTATCTGAAGTTCTAATCTGTTCAGTGTACTATTGCGCATGCGTGGAGAAAACAAACTATCGGGATTCCGATATATATTGAAAGAAATTTGAGGAGAAATACCATTTCTCAACTCAGTTCACGGCTGATCTTATAGCCATGAATAATGCAGATTTCATAGTCACCAGCACATACCAAGAGATTGCAGGAACAGAAGTCTCCCGGTACATTGGAACGTCATATTCGTGCTCTACTTTTTGTTAGTACAGTGATTGTCAGCTCAATTGTGTTTAGTTTCATCTGGAAATGGAATATAAATAAGCTTATTACATCATTACTTAAGCGTCAATGGTACTTCTGATTTTGATAATTGGAGTGTTGAAATTTCCTGTCCAAATATATATCGTTGCCTTGTTCTTTGTTTACTGATGTTTGTTTCCTGGTTCCTTAACTTTTGTCTCCGCTCGATCTTTCAGTAAGAATACGGTTGGTCAGTATGAGAGCCACAGCTGTTTCACTCTTCTGAGGCAGTACCGAGTGGTTCATGGAATTAATGTCTTTGATCCAAAGTTCAATATCATGTCTCCCGGAGCAGTTATGACCATTTATTTCCCATACTCTGAAAAGCAAAAGAGACTTACCAGCCTCCATGGTTCCCTAGAAGAGTTGCTATATGATCCTGACCAGAATGATGTGCATATGTAAGTTCGTTCATAGTATAATCAACTGTGACAATGCAATTATTTTGTGGCAGTCACTTGATAATATGATATTCTTCTTTATTGGCTTAGTGGCACCCTAAGTGATCGGTCAAAGCCCATAATATTTTCAATGGCAAGGCTCAACCAGGTGAAAAATATGACTGGGTTGGTTGAGTGCTATAAGAAGTGTTCCAAACTGAGGGATCTGGTAAACCTTGTCGTAATCGCTGGTTACATTGACGCAAAGAAATCACGAGATAGAGAAGAGATTGCAGAGATTGAGAAGATGCATAATCTCATGAAGGAGTACAAATTAAATGGTCAATTTCGATGGATTTCATCCCAAACTAATCGAGTTAGTACCGGTGAGCTTTATCATTACATAGCAGACAAAAGAGGTGCTTTTGCTCAGGTACGTAGGTGTTTCTGGATTTTGTTTTGGAGAGAACTCTCAGTGTACTTTAATTTACTTCGTTTAGTTTTATAATTGCAGCCTGCATTTTATGAAGCTTTTGGACTCACAGTTGTGGAGGCCATGACTTGCAGCCCTCCAACACTCGCCACTGTCCATGGTGGCCCCCCGCAGATTATTGAGCATGGTGTATCAGGATTTCATATCGATCCTTATCATCCTGAGAAGGCTGATGCACTTTTGGCAGATTTCTTTCAACGTTGCAAGGAGGATCCTAGCTACTGGAATACAATCTCAGATGGAGGCCTCCAAAGAATTTATGAAAAGTTAGTATCTTTCTACAGTTGTACAATAGTACTTCGTATTAGCCATGCGTTGATGAACTGAGGGGTTTTTGTAACATTGCAGGTGCACATGGAAGATTTATTCTGGAAGGCTAATGACATTGGCTGGTGTTTATGGTTTCTGGAAGTATGTGTCAAAACTTGAAAGGCGTGAGACTCGACAATATCTGGAGATGTTCCACATTCTAAAGTTCCGTGATTTGGTGAGTTTCTGTCTTGATTGTTAGCTTTAAACTACATCAATGGACGATCTTGATAGGATTAATGACAGTCGTTGCTTAAGATAGATAAATTCCTTTCATGGGACTTATTATGCTTGCATTATTTCAGGCAAAATCTGTTTCTCGAGCTGTTGACGATGCACATTAAGCTACAACCTGCTCAGCTGCGGAGGCTTTGAGTCCGTAACTCGGTGATTCGCAAGGTAATATGGTTGTACAGAAGAACTAGAAGTTACCCTTTGTGCATGTATGAATCTAGAATTGTACAGAAGCTCTTGATCTTGTATTGTTATGAACTGATTAATATAATATGCAAGACATTGTCATCCTTTACGAATTTGGTAAACATGGTGAAAAACACTCGGTTACTTTTCTTCCTTTCTCCAATCGCAAGACGAAGAATACATGCATTAAGGTTTTCTTTAGGGGTCCGGCTACATTACGAACACATACTCAGTACAAATTATTTGTAAATACCACTTGTTGGGCCGTCATGGCGATTGAGCGGGATTGAGCGGTGCAATACCATTTCAACGGTTTACTACACCATCTAATTGGTCCAATATACCATCTCATGAGTCGTCATATGTGGGTTTTGGACTTAAAGGCTGGTTTGGTATTACTGTTCTTTGAAGAAAAACTATTTATGTTCTACTGCAAGAATAAGCAACTGTGAAATAAAGTAGCAAAGTGTTTGGTAAACTTTTTTGTAAAAATACTTTTGAAAAAAAGAAGAAGTATTATAGTGTTTAATAAACTTTTATGTAAAACAAATGTGAAAAAAGCTGGGTTTTGCAACTTTGTGTTTTTGGCTTTTTTTCATCCAAAACTATGAAAAAAAGTTGAAGCTGAATGTTTACCAAACATAAAAAAGCTCCCAACTTTTTTTTATAGCCACTTTTTTTATAATCACCTCAGTACCAAATTAGGGCTTATGGCTGGTTTGGTATTGCTGTGCTTTGAAAAAAAACTGTTTTCTGCTGTGCTGTGAGAATAAGCAGCTGTGAAATAAAGCAACAGAGTGTTTAACTTTTTTGTAAAAGTGCTTTTGAAAAAAAAAAAAAAAAGCAATATTATAATGTTTGATAAACTTTTATGCAAAACAGATGTGAAAAAAAAGTTTTTTTCAAAGCTGAGTTTTGCAGCTTTGTGTTTTTGGCTTTTTTTCATCAAAAACTGTGAAAAAAAAGTTGAAACTGAATGTTTACCAAACATAAAAAAGCTCCCAACTTTTTTTGATAGCCATTTTTTTCAGAATCACCTCAGTACTAAACTAGGCTTAATACTCTTTAAAAATTCAATTTCACAGTAAAGTGTGCAGGATCAATTAGTTAGGACAGTGCAGTTGTGCTCTTGTAATTGAATTCAGATCTGCTTTTCATTTATCAAAATAGTTAACAATATCCCTATATCCTCTCTCCATGTGGTTCAGTCGATCTACAGTTCAGATACTTCCGTGTTATAATCCAATCCGACGCCACATTTGGAATGTTTTTGGGTCCCTTGGGAGTCCCTTTTGAGTTTCAACTAACTTGCTAGCTGCAATTCTCAACTTGACAATAGCAAGTTATCAACTTGGATCGACTACACACCTTTAACGTTTTAAACTGGTCGAGCGTTGTCATAAAAATTAAAACTTAAACATAATATCGTATTATTAATTTCAAAACGTCATGATAATGAGAAATTTTTTATTATGACGAGAATACGAATGGTACAACACATGCTTTTATGAAAATCCTTCTCAACCTCGACTTGGCCGCTCAAGCTTAGCATTGCAGGGGAAATGATCATCTTCAAATCCTTTCTATTAAATCTACTAAATCAAAGGATTCGTACATTTGAAATTTGATCCAATAACTTAAAAAATAAAACATTTTTAAAAATTATAATAATTTTAACAATTAAATGAGTAGATTTGATAAAAAAGATTCAAAGACGATCTTTCCGCATTGCAGGGCATGTGACATATCTCGTGTACTTTGTCAGAAGGACTACTAGTCCTTCCAATAGCCACTTTCTCGCGTTTGACAACTCCTTCTGACACTTGACCATATCTGACAAACCTACTTAATACAAGCAGCTTTTTTGACCAAACGAACCACACGCTCCTTCCCGCCAACCTTTCACATGCTTTTACCCAAAATCTTGTTTCTTGATCTTCCTTCCACTTCCTTTTTCCGCACTCATTTTTCAACGGTCAAATATTTACTCGTTAACCACTAAACTACTTCACCAACAATAATTTATTTAATCACTTCCTAGTTAGGCATTATTTGGATTCTCTCCTTTCTTCTTCTTTTTATTAATTTTTTCTTTTTTATTCTCTCTTTATTAGAAAAGTAAAACAAGATGACGATGTTGCTTAATCTTGAGCGTTCAAACAGAAAATGTAAGAGGAGAAAAGAAAATGAGAAAGGAGAAAATCCAGATCCCATTACATTATTCACTATCATTCACCCGTTCTCTTTGTTCTTAATTGTGTTTTTTCTTATTAAACTATAAGGTATAATTGTTAAGTCATGTAACTTGAATCTCAAGAAGCCTTATTCTTGTGTTGTTTTGGGGACCATCGTTGATAATAATTTGTAATTATCTAATCCAAAATATTTGTCTTTGGATTCTTATTTTTATTTAGCTCCTTGGGTAGAACATCCCACCCGACTATATTACTTTAGAAAAATACCATTTGATGGACTTATATGTATTTTAATAAAATGACTCGACTAAACATATCTTAACAACAAGAATGACACTAGACTACACTACTGAGTTACGGATCTATCTCCAGCTTAATTAATCGGAAACCAAAGTAAAAAGCTCAGGTGTCCGACCATGTCAGTGAGGCACTAGAGTTTCTGACCATGTCTATAAATTAACTCACAAAAACATGAGATATTTGAAAGTTGGTTACACCCTAATCTTTTCTACTTTAGTCATTGTTCTAAAAATTTCCATCCATGGCAGTTTAGATGATGTCTAAACAGTGGCTGATAATTGTTCCGATTAATCCTAGATGTTTGATAATTAAGAAAGAACGTCTAGACTTGTTTAAACGCTCACATAGGTCTAGACTTTCATTTAAACAAAAAATAGAAAAAAAAAATTTGCCTTTTATTTTTCAATAAATTGTAAGAGCTTGTTGAATATTTAGATGAACACTCATTTTATACTTATTCTCCATATTTTCAATATGTTGTAATATTTTATTATATTTTATAATTCATGTATCTCAATATAATTATGTAAGATATTTATCTATATGTTGTATAATAAAAAATAAAATAAAAACCTTGAGACCCGCGCCTCAGCACTAGGTCCCTGCGCGTTCGACTGCCGCTTAACGCCTTTTAAAACCTTAGTTTTAATCACTATCAGTGCAACTGCAAGAGACGTCTTAACAAGACATCCGTTCAAAAATTTCTTTTCAAATCATGCCAAACGGTATTGGCGTATTGCTTATGTCAACAAGTAACCCCAATGGACAAGCTTAGAGCCCATAAAACTCTCACATGTAAACACCGTTTCTGGCAAATTACGACATCGATACTATAATTGTGAACCCTGACATATGAACCAACAACACCAACTACACCTTGACATTTGTGCTTCGTAGTTTGGGGCTCTTTGCTCTCGACCCTATCACCACGTGCACTTTCCATCCAGTTACTACTAAAAAGCAGTGCTTAATAATAATTAATTTAAAATAAAAACACCTAATAACTTGGAGGAGAATCTCAGAAGCAGCTTTCAGCTTAGAGCTGGCCAAATGAGTGGGCAAGATAAGCCAGTGATCCTACGAGGGGTGCGTTGATGTAAGTGGCTGGCTCCGACTGCTCATAATCTGACCGTTGATCTGGGAACTTGTCGTTCTTGTCGGGCCCACCGATCACTGCCCCCACCAGGATGTTGGGGTTGGGGGATTGGGAGCTCATCACGCTGAAGCCGGACGAGCATTGGATCTTTGCTGGGTGTGCGGCGATGCAGGGCAGCGATGAGCCCCTGTGGTGGATCCTCCGTGGATACCTTGGGCCGTACCCCACCATGTAGGACATCTTCATTGGGTTGTCTCCTAGTAGATAATCCACCTGATAGAAGCCATTAACATAAACACGATTAAAAAGAGATTAATTAAGCTCTATTTTTCTCATTAATTTATAACAAGAGGAATTAATGTCTTTATCATGGCATTTGGGGTGGCCAATACGTGACACACGATTAAAACACGATTACCTGTCTCTTGGCAATTGCTCGGAGCCGCTTCGGGGTGATGGCGGTGCCGCCGCAGTTAACCACCTGGCGGGAACTGGTTAAGTACTTGGCATAGCTTAAGATCAGAAACGAGGTGGATGTCACGTACTGCATGTTGCTATCATTCATTTTGAACAGAAGACCACCTGCATCCAAAAACACCAAAACTAGCCGTTATGAACAGGACCACTATGCTCTTGATTTTCAGAGAGAGAGAGAGAGAGAGAGAGAGAGAGAGTGTACCTGGAGTGTATTGGGCTGAAGAGTAAGAGGCTCCTGGAATGATTGAACAGATGAAACTATCTGCATGCCCTTTGTAGTCATGGAGGGATTTCACCTTTTGGACGAGGAATGCCTGTAAAAGCAAAATCCCACGTTATAGTTGTCGGGGAGTTTTTTTTCTTCTAATTTACTATAAAATCGGAGCCTCAAGAATATACCAAAAACTGATATCGAATACAAAATTTTGAGAAAATGGGGACCTTGGAGAGAAGAATTCTTGCTCCGACGTGCTTGTTATCCCATCCGAACGTGTTGTCAAACTCCGCCGCCCCGAGAATCTGACCGTTAACCTGAATGTAACTGAGATACAGCGGATTCTTGGTGGCCTTGTAGAGCCAAGCAGCACCCCACAGCAGCTCATCCTGCAATTGTTAAAAAAGATAACACCTTCAGCCACATTTTGCAGAAATAAGCAATAAAAAGTAGGCAAATTTGAAAGAAGTGAAATTCTTTTACCTGAAAGCCAGAGTAATCACAATAGTAGGGGCACACAAATTTCTTCAATCCGATGCTGTAAGGTCCTCTGTGCTTGTCAGCAAACGCAAACACCTACACCCAGAAGCAAAACGTGATCTCAGATTTTTTTGGGGGAAATTAGAAGAAAACCCTTCTACTTTTTTTCTTTGGTTGGAATTTAAAGTTTGGTATTTTGAACTTACGCTCATTGCCCTCCTGACCAGAAGCTTGGAGTAAGTGGGATCACATCTCCTGAAGACCAAAGAGGCAGAAGCAAGAGCAGCAG